AGTTGCACATTGATTTGCATGTCAATGAGTGAAATAAATATTTGACCCCTTTGACTAAGTACTTGGTGGCAAAACCCTTGTTGGCAATCACAGAAGTCAGATGTTTCTTGTAGTTGGCCACCAGGTTTGCACCCATCTCAGGAGAGATTTTGTCCCACTCCTCTTTGCAGATTCTCTCCAAGTCATTAAGGTTTCGAGGCTGACGTTTGACGACTCGAACCTTCAGCTCCCTCCACAGATTTTCTATGAGATTAAGGTCTGGAGACTGGCTAGGCTACTCCAGTACCTTAAATGTGCTTCTTCTTGAGCTGCTCCTTTGTTGCCTTGGCTGTGTGTTTTGGGTCATTGTCATGCTGGAATACCCATCCACGACTCATTTTCAATGCCCTGGCTGAGGGAAGTAGGTTCTCACCCAAGATTTGACAGTACACGGCCCCGTCCATCATCCCCTTGATGTGGTGCATTTGTCCTGTCCCCTTAGCAGAAAAACACCCCCAAAGCGTAATGTTTCCACCTCCATGTTTGACGGTGGGGATGGTGTTCTTAGGGTCTAAGCAGCATTCCTCCTCCTCCAAACACAGCAATTTGAGTTGATGCCAAAGAGCTCGAATTTGGTCTCATCTGACCACAACACTTTCACCCAGTTCTCCTCTGAATCATTCAGATGTTCATTGGCAAACTTCAGACGGGCCTGTACATGTGCTTTCTTGAGCAGGGGGGCCTTGCAGGAGCTGCAGGATTTCAGTCCTTCACGGCATTGTGTGTTACCAATTGTTTTCTTGGTGACTATGGTCCCAGCTGCCTTGAGATAATTAACAAGATCCTCCCGTGTAGTTCTGGGCTGATTCCTCATGATCATTAAAACTACACGAGGTGAGATCTTGTATGGAGCATCAGACCAAGGAAGACTGACAGTTATTATTTGTTTCTTCCATTTGCGAATATTCGTACCAACTGTTGTCACCTTCTCACCAAGCTGCTTGGCGATGGTCTTGTAGCCCATTCCAGCCTGGTGTAGGTCTACAATCTTCTTCCTGACATCCTTGGACAGCTCTTTGATCTTGGCCATGGTGGAGAGTTTGGAATCTGATTGATTGATTGCTTCTGTGGTCAGAGCTCTTCTATACAGGTAACGAGCTAAAATTAGGAGCACTCCCTTTAAGAGAGCGCTCCTAATCTTAGCTTGTTAAATGTATAACAGACATCTGGGAGACAGAAATATTGCTGATCGATAGGGGATCAAATAGCTATGTCAGGGGGGGCGTGTCTGGCAGCCGATGGAGATGGCCGCCTAATTCTGTAGCTCCCCGTGGCACCCGCAATCAACCCCGCATCACCACAAGCCCAGCTCACCTGCACACACCATATGGGTCGCACAAGGAGGCTGGCAGACCCCGGCGGCACCCCAAGACCCGCGGGACACGGAGGGGATCAATCGATCCGTGCTTTCCTCCACGCCGCCGGCCGCAATCAGTCCCCGCGGAGGGAAATGGAGGCCGCAAGCCTGCAGCCTGAATCCTTCCCATCCACGCCGGCAGTATTCTCCCCGGCCCCATCGCCTACCCTGGATACACAGCAACCACAAGGGGGTGAGTGGAGAGACATCTTGCCAAACCTACTTACAAAGGCTGATTTTGAAGCCCTTTCTGACAGATTAGGCCGGGTGGTCCGTGAAGAGGTGGCCCAGCTGCGTGCAGATGTGGCAAATGTAGAGGCCCGCATGGCAGTAGCAGAGACGGAAACAAGGGCGCTCAGGACAGATCTGGAACTCACGAATGTGACGGTCACGAAACAAGACGCTGACCTAGCCTTCCTCACCACATGGGTTGACGATCTGGACAACCGCGGCCGCAGGATGAACCTGCGCGTCCGCGGAGTGCGGGAAGGAGGCCACTCAGAAAATGTACCGGAAATACTGCGGCTGATCTTTGCCCAAGTACTGGGAGGCCAACATGCACCCAGAATAGGCCTAATCCGTGCACACAGAGCGCTGAGACCCATACCAACACGTGAGGAACAACCAAGAGACATAATATGCTGCCTGGAAAATTACCACCAAAAAGAAGAAATACTACGCACAGCCAGACGCATGGGGACGATCCGAATGGAAGGTCAGACCGTATCTATCTACCAAGACCTTTCACGCTACACCCTGATGGCCAGTGACGTCAGCGCTGCAACAAGCCAACATACCGTACCGCTGGGGATACCCGTTCTCCCTCACAGCCAGACACGGACAAGACCAACTAACAATCCGGAAGCCAGATGATGTCCAAAGCTTTTTACATACTCTAGGCCTCCCGCCGCAGCAGGTGCCAGACTGGCTGGCAAGATCGTTCCTCCAACAACCACCGGGCCCGCAACAACGACAACCGCGCGGACCCATCGCGGACCAGCAAAGGCCCCGACCCCAGTACCAACGCGAATGGCACCAGGGCCAAGCGCAGAGGGAGCAGTAACAGAACACAGCACCGCACAGCCAAGGCAAGGACATGGGGACTCCATTGATGAGAACTAGCTAAATCGTGAGTACCATCACAGGGGACACCGTACGGGAACCACACAAGCACGCAGAAATTGGGGAGGGAACAGGGGGATAAAGGGTCACAAAGACACTATACCTCAACTATAATATGTCGGGGGGGAACACGCAAGGCATGACCAGAGTCATGCCCCTTACCGCAAACTCAATCGGGAGGGCACCAGGACATTTGGGGCGGGGAACAAGGGAAGGGGATATGATGAGAACGACCACATGGGGAATGCAGGACACAAACGGACACAAGGACAATGCAACCACGCTGCACCGCCAGTAGAGGCACAACTCCGAAGACCTCCAGGGCCGTGCAAACCCACAGCGCAAAAGGGAACTTGGCAGGGGGAAGGGGGAGTAGGGGGCAGGGAGGGAAGTGGGAGGGTAGAGTAGTTGGAGGGGAGTTAAGGGGCCCCTGATCGATGAGGGTAAGATGGAAGCGCAAGAAACAAAAACAAAAAAGTGGGAACAAGGATAAACAATGGAAAACGGGAGAATACAGGGTGGGAATACTAAAAGAAGGAGAGAGGGGACCGTATTAAAAGGTTAGGGGAGGGAGGGGGAGACATGGCTATAATATTTATAAATATTTGAAAGAAAAAAAAAGAGATATGCCCTTTACACGGTGCGTACGGCTCAACGCGCAACGTTAGGCGCATGCATGAAACCCATACAAATTGGCCCGAACCTGCCTCCAGGCGGATCCAGAGCCACTCAGAGCTTAAGACCAGTCCAAGGCTAACAAAGGACGACGAAATAGTTACTACAGGCGACTGGAAGACGGAGGTGCCCTCCCCCAGACATTACCAACGACCCTAGACAGTGCAGGGACAGCAGACAAACCTTAGACCAGAGACTCAAAGCTCCACCCAAAACAGAGGACAAACCCGAACAAAGGAACCCCACAGGCCTGATTCGACCCACGAGGCACCCCATACCACAGCGTCCCCACCTCGCGAAATAGCTAGACCCATTCCAAGCGGGCTCCAAACAATCCAAAACACACACGTGAGCAGATGACGGACAAACAGTAACAGCTCAGATGCAAACAGACGAGACACACACTCATAAACGAACCCATAATCGACACAAACTAAGAAACGGAGCGGGTGCTCCGAGTAAATAGCCACCCGGGAGACAGACTAAGGACTGCGTACAGTACTAATACATACACGTAGACCTTCTAGGAACCCAGAAGCGGACTGCGCCGTCGCAGACGGTAAGCCCGATTCCCCCACAGGCATAGGACATAGGGATCCCCACTTATCAGGGGATACACTACTCCCGGAATAGACCCAGCCCCATCTCGCAGGCAGGGTTACGCGGTCGAATACCCGGGACGATTGTCCATTACCCTACAGTAATACAGAGGCCATATAGGCGTCGTGAATAGACGCAACACCGACTACACACCCAACAATACACCACCACACACTCACACACTCCCCAACCGAACCACGCAACAGACTCACTCACCCCTGTGGCCGTCCGGAGGATGCCGGACCCAGGCCCTGGCGGATACACATTCTCTCATATAATGTACACGGCTTAAACGTCAGAGAAAAACGCACAAGACTTCTGCGGGATCTGAAACACTATAGGGCGTCAATAGCGTTTCTCCAAGAAACGCACTTTCAAGAAGGCAGAGCACCGGCACTGCGAGACCGCAATTTTAGAACGGGATATTTTAGCAACAACCCGGACAGGCGCACGCTGGGAGTAGGTATCATATTCTCCAGCAGAACCCCATACACGGAACAAGCCACAGTAAGATGCAAACAGGGCAGGTATATCTTCACTAAAGGCACGATCCTCGAACAAACCTACACGTTCGCCAATATATACGCCCCGAACACGAAACAGTTTCCTTTCCTTCGGAACGCACTGAACACCCTGATGAAGTTCGCAGAAGGCACTCTGATCGTGGGGGGAGATCTGAACCTGACCCTGCACCCAGACCAAGACTCCACATCGACACTCGGCAGAACCCCGCATAAGCGACACGCGAACACACTCCGTCTACTGCACCAACACCAATTGGCGGATTGCTGGAGAGCGCTGAACCCAACAACGCGGGACTACACGTTTTACTCACAGACCCATGCAACATACACGAGGCTAGACTACTTCTTACTAGCACACCACGACTTGGCCCTACTCAAGGCAGCAGACATACTGCCGATGACATGGTCGGACCACTGCCCGATCCGCATACGGATGGCATCACCGTTATTTAAACCCAGACAGATGTCCTGGAGACTGAACGAATCAATTCTATCGGATGTGACAGTGGCTGATAAAATAGGCCAAACCATACGAGACTACTTCCAAGATAATGAAACGGAGGACGTGACACCAATGACATGCTGGGAAGCACACAAGACGGTAGCAAGAGGCCAGATTATAGCAATATGCGCGAATCACAAAAAGACGGCGGTACGGGAAATAACCAGGCTGAGCAGCGAAATTGCGACCCTGGAAGCCAGACATAAAAGAACCTTAGAAACAACAATATACAGAGAGCTAACAGATAAACGCAACCAGCTCACAGCGCACCTTAACAGGAGGATCCAACGCGCGTACGAACACTACAGACACATGATACATGAACACGGAGACAAGTGCGGGAGACTGCTGGCGAATCTCCTGAGGCAACGTAAGACACAACTGTATATACCGAAAATAAAAAACGCACAGCAGCAAATCAGACACCTCCCAGAACAAATAGCAACGGAGTTCCAACGATACTACCAGGACCTTTACCACCTCCGCAAGGAAGCACAGGACGACCAGAGACATCAGAAAACGGCAGACATACGCCAGTACCTGAACTCAGCAAACATGCCAGATATAACGGAAGCAGAGAAAGACGCGCTAGAAGCGCCTATAACACCCGAAGAGTTGGCATACGCCATCAAGAAAGCTAAAACGGGGAAGGCACCGGGGCCAGATGGACTGCCCCTCCAATACTACAAGGTCTTCACGCAAGAGCTTCAGCCGAAACTACTTAAAGCCCTGAACTCCATACAGGACGGAGCTGCACCTACGGCCCAGTTCACCTCAGCAAACATTACCCTGCTACCAAAGGAGGGCAAAGACCCGACATTGTGCCCAAACTACCGCCCGATTTCGGTACTCAATACAGACATCAAACTTCTGGCAAGCATCCTGGCAGCGAGACTAGCGCCGCTACTGCCAGGCTTAATCCACCCGGACCAAACAGGGTTTATCCCAGGCAGAGAGGTGCGTGACAACACCATCAGAGCCCTGAACATCATCGCACACGCTAGAACACTCGGGACACAGACCCTCCTCCTGTCCACAGACGCAGAAAAGGCGTTCGACAGGGTGGACTGGGATATGATGTTCGAGACCCTCCAAGCCTATGGGATGGGACCTCACTACCTTACATGGGTACGGGCCCTCTACACCAACCCGACGGCACGAATCCGGATAAACGGGGCACTGACGGACCCGTTCCAGATATACAATGGAACCAGACAGGGGTGCCCACTTTCTCCCCTAATCTTCGCGTTGACGCTGGAGCCGTTTCTGCGGAGGATCAGACAGAACGTAAACATACAGGGCCTCACAGTCGGACAGGTACAACACAAAACACTAGCATATGCGGACGACCTGCTGTTCGTGGTCACACGTCCAGAGACCACCTTACAGGAAATACAGGCAGAATTTAAAGAATATGGGCTGATCTCCAACCTCCAGATAAATTACGCTAAGTCGGAGATCCTCAACCTCACCATAGATCAAGCCCACAAACGGACTCTTCAAAGACTGCACCCGTACCGCTGGTGCGACCTCCGTATGCGGTACCTAGGGTTGTGGCTCACTCCCACCCCGGGAGACCTATACATCCACAACTATCTCCCTATACTTAAAAAAGCAACGAAGGAACTAAATAAATGGAGCTCCCTCTACGCATCATTGCTAGGAAGAGTAAACGCCGTAAAGATGACGCTACTACCGAAACTTCTTTTCGTGTTCCAAACGGTGCCGATACTAGCCCCGCAAGCCTTCTTTAAGACGATACGGGCGGAGGTCCGCAAGTTCGTATGGAAGGGCAAATCCCCACGCATAGCACACGCTCAACTAACCCTGCCTAAACTCCGAGGAGGCCTGGCGCTCCCTGATTTTGAAAAGTACTACCAGGCAGCGCACCTCACCAGAATAGTCAGCTGGTCGGTTGCCAGCGGAACGAAACCATGGACCCAGCTAGAATCCGACATCACGGACTGCGACCTTCGCACGCTACCGTGGATACCCAGAGCAGCTTACAAACATAAACATATCACCAACCCATTCGTGGCAGCGACCATGAAGGTATGGCACAGGGAAGGCACGAAGCAATACCTCACGACGGATCCAGGCCCGCTACTGCCGTTGAGAGGAAACCCAGACTTCCCAGCAGGAGACCACGGCCCCATGCCAGGCCCGAGGGGACGCACAACGACTCCTCGCATGATGGATGTCCTCCAACGCCAATTTGAAGTCCGCGGCGTCACAGACCTCTTTCCTGATCGAACGCTCACCTTTGCACACACACTGGCGAGAGCACAAATAGTAGGGTACGCTCGGTCTATCCCGCAAAAACCATCACTACTGAGAGACCCCACACAATTCGAACTACTCTGTACGCAAGAAACCGAAACCCCACGTGCCATTTCACAGATATACGCAATGCTGGTTACAGGAAGATATTTACTGGCACCCCCTTGCATGAGAAACTGGGAGGAAGACCTGGAAGAATCCATGACAGAAGCAGCCTGGGACAAAAACATCACCCTGATACAAAAAACACCTAGCTCGGCGAGGCTGCAAGAAAACTCATACAAAATATACACCAGGTGGTACCTGACACTGACGGCGATACACGCCAGGAATCCGGAAGCCACAGACACCTGTTGGAGATGTGGAATAGAGAGAGGAACATTCATACACACCTGGTGGACGTGCTCCCGACTCCGACCATTCTGGAACACGATCAGAGAGGTAATACATGAAGTAACGGACGAAATGCTCCCGAGTTCCCCAGCAACGTTCCTCCTACACCACACGGAGATGTCTATACCGACATACAGTAAATCTGTCATCCCACGACTATTAAACGCAGCCAAAGCAACGGTCCCAATATACTGGAAACAGGCCACCACACCCTCCATCGCAAGATGGGTGGAAGCAACTAGGAAATTCGAAGACGTGAAGGCAACCACCCCGAACCTTAGAGATCGTTACACCAAACGCTGGTTTCACTGGCTTAGACTAACCACCACTGACGCCTTTCGTAACCGCATGGCGACGCAGTAGACGAAGGAGGAGAGTTTTAAGCCAAAATAAATACGGCACTAATATGAAAAGCTGGGGACCGATGAACCGAGACGGCGACAGGGGTCGGAATCACCCACCATCACCAACCCACAACACCCACATGCACATACACGACACACAACTTGCCGACACATATAGTCGCACACCCAAAGGACAACAGGAGGCGGGACAATGAGCAGGCCAGGGGACACACACAAGTAAACACACAACACATACGAGCGGCAGCGTGCCAAGACTTTAAACTACGCAACCTGAACCAAGACCCACTACGAACACACGGACGGCCAAGACATAGAACAAACGGCCACTGCAGTCAGATAACACCAGACGAGAGTTGCGAAACCACATGATCTGAGCGCCACACACATCCACAGCCCAAACACAGACCTTTTTGATCTACCCCAAAACCCACAGAACAACACCACATCCACGCACACAGGTGAACCCACCTCAACGCGACGACACCAAGACACACAGACAGTGACTCAGACACACAAACCGGAACCACAAAGACGCAACAATAGAGGCAGACACACAGAGCTCCAGAATAAAGCAACACTACATAGACAAAACCATGGAAACACGCAATAGAGGTGACACAGACTTACCGCAGAAGGTTTCACCATCACCAGCAGAGGGAAAGGACACGAAACATAAAAAACAAATACAACCCCAATATGCACGAGCAGGTAGCCACGAGACACACTAGAACTCAGGGATACAGACAAAAGACCAGAACGCGTAAACACCAACACATGTTCGCAAGATGGGCCTTCACTGCAGTTTACGGCAACAGGGATATATACGCAAACACTGGCATCTCAGAAGAAAACAGTGTATTATTAACGAACCACACTAACACCATTTAATGAGCCGATAGCTGAACACATGATACCAACTGCCACCCCAAATAACCACTACATACCTGACAACAACGCCCTAACAACGCAATACCAAGCAAGCTCACCACCTTTTACATGTCTAGCCCTGCAAGACCTATAAATGTCTAATATTTGTCATTGCGTGTTTATTTTGACTTATAAGCCTCTGCGCAGGCAACTATGTGTTACTCTGAGTTAACTGGAATATGTCGGCCTCACATTATATACACTTTCAATGTGCACGCCTCTGCGTAGGCAACTATATGCATGAATGATACCAAGTTCAATACCCGTGTTTATATTGCTGACAATAAACATATTTAAAACAAATAGCTATGTCACTCATTGACATGCAAATCAATTTATAACTTTTTTGATATGCTTTTTTCTGGGTTGCTTTTTGCTGTTATTCTGTCTCTAACTGTTAACCCCTTAACGACGCTTGACGGAAATATTCTGTAAAGGCAGACCTACCAGTAAGGACGCATGATGGAAAATCTCCATCATTTACTAACGTTAACCCAGACCGGGAGCACCCGATCGCACAGTCCCTGTGGATGTGATCACTCTGACAGCGTATCAGAGTGAGCACATGTGCTGCAGGAACTTCTGATCCGCTTCCCTGTGCTACCGTGTTCAGTGTGAAGTGCAGGGAGAAGGATCAGCAGTGATCTTCTCCCTGTGTGGAAAAAATAAAGTTAGTTAAAAATTCACCCCTTCCCTGCCAATTGATTACTGACTTCAGTGATCAATTGGCAGGGACTACATTTTACTGTGATCTGATTTTTTTTTTTTTAACCCCTGAGGGTTAACTTTTTTTTTTTTACCCTCAGGGGTTACATTTATTTCATTAATTAATTTTAATATTTCAAAAATATACATTTAGCTAGCTAGGGTGGGTGGAAGTTAGTGGGGAATTGTGGAAATTTGGTGTTAGGCTAGCTAAGGGTTAACGTTAAAAAAGTTATTTGAAAAGCTTTAAAAGTTAAAGTTAAAACTTTTTATTTTAATAACGTTTCAAAAAGTAAAATAAATCCCACCCCCTTTACCCAGTCCTAATAAAAATTAACCCCTTCCCTGCCAGTTGATCACTGACTACTGTGATCAAAATACAGATCACAGTATTATACTGTGATCTGATTTTTTTTTTATCCCTCAGGGGTTCAATTTATTTAATTAATTAATTTAAATATTTTACAATTATATATTTTGCTAACTGGAATGGGTGGGAGTTATGGGAAATTGTGGAATTTACTGTAAGTGCTGCTTACTGCTAGTTAGGGGTTAAGAGTAAAAATAAAGTTTATACAAATTTTAAAAGTGTAAAAAAGTTTTAAAAATGTAATAAGTAAAAAAAAGTTTAAAAACAAGTTTTAAAAAGAAAAAAAGTTTAAAAGAGTAAAAAAAAATACATTAAAAATGCCTACAGCTACAAATGCCTACCACTATACCTGGAACAAACTAGCAAAAAAATTATCCCATGCTAAGGTTCAAAATATGCCTTTTGAAATACCCCAGGGTGTATTCTTTTAAAAATGGTATGCGTTTGTGGGGAAGTTTGAATAACCAACCAGCTAAACTACTCTGAAATGGAACATTGACACAGCATAAAACTTCAAACTTAGAAAAAAAACCAGAATGGCTGTGTCTCAAATTTGCCCCTTCAACCTCCACAAATACCTGGCAAAGGTGCATACGGGGTTATTGTTGTACTCAGACGACAAAGCTAAGCAACATATGAAATATTTCACAGCCATAGCACACATAGGATTTACTGTGCAAACTCACTGTGTGAGTCAAAAAGGCAGAAAAAAATGCTTATTACCACTACACTTGGTACAAGCTAGAGGAGAAATGATCCCACACTTAGGTTCGAAATATGCCTTCTGAAATACCCTGG